ACGATGGGCGTACCCAGGGAACACTAGGTCCTCAGGGCAGTTTCGAGCTGCAGAGCTAGTACAACCCTTGCGGAGGCAGATACTCAACCTCAGCAGGGAACTGTCCCTTTACACAGGCACGAAATATCTTTCGAACTGGGGCGCAACATTCGTAGAAGATGCGAATATAGGATGTAGACGTATGAGGATGTAGACGTAATGTAGGATGTAGACAATTACTCAACTTCCACCCAGTTCGTAGGCACACTGTTAGGGAGAAGACGGCACATCCATGCGAGTTTATGGGCAAGGCAAAGGCCCGTGTTAGGAATGTCGTCAGGTCTTCGTAAATATCAAGCAGAGCCCAGAGAGTTGTGGCTTTTGATTGACGAAGACCTAACGCAAAATAAAACGTTACTGTGTAGAGACCAATGCGCATAAACGTCAATCACTAGCCTTCAACACGATCACGCAAAGCGATAACCCACGTAAAAGAAACATGCATCAGATGCCATCCAGTTCTTTTGCACTAAATCGTTTGAGTTGAACATGAAAGTCGATATTAGGGCGACGAAGAATTAATACCTTAGGGAGTTAGCTAAAACAGTTTTGCTGTAGCTGATAAGGAAGACAAAAAGCAGCAAAGGCGGTAACCGTTAATGTTGAAAACAACGAAATTCGTGAAGTGAGGCAGTGCGGGTGCAGAACGTTGTTTTGGAAAGGAAACTCGGCCAAAATGCTCGTAACCGCTCACGGTGGCAGCGCCCAACATCCATTGAAGAATCCCTAAGAGGTGGTCGCATTTGTATAGCTAGGAAGGGGCTTCTTTCTTTCTTTCTTTCTTTCTTGAAGTGAGTAGTCAATAGTAGTCTTTGAAATGAAGACGAATAGGAATCTGAGTGGAGGTCGAGTGTGTGGTGCACCCCATGGCTGAGTTCACCGATCGTGCTGGGTTTCAACTCACTTAAACCCTAGGCGTAGGTGTTCTGCAGCCATTGGAAAGGAGGGCTTGTGAACAATGAAGTAGGATTACTCGATTTCACGGCTGAAAGCAACACTTCGCAGCAGAGAATCTCCATGGGTTGCTTAACTGTAACAATAATTTGAGGAAACTGAGAAGCGCAAATTTCCCAGTTTTATGGAGTTTTCACTTCGCCTCTAAAAAATAGGATGCCGCGACAAACCCTGCCCCCTCAGGCCCCAGCACAATACTGCACGTTCCCGCCGTCGAAAACTTTCTTTGAATTACATCACAGACCGCAAACTGCCTCACGTCGTTCATCTGTTTTAAATGGGGTAGCACAGCAAACAGTGAATGGAAAACGAAGCAGGTCACAAAAATGTGTTAATCATTCAAAATTCCTTATGCAAAAACATATTTGGGGTTTTAAAAGCACACAGGAAAGGCAGGGAATGTACGGTGTCGAAACGCCTGTCCGGACTTTGGCAGATAATAATTTCCTCGTTTAAGTCGCGAGACGCTGAGCAATGAAAGCAACGTAACATTGAAAATATCGGTAACAGTCTCACTTCAGTTCGGAATAACGTCGCAGATATTTCGTCTCTTCAAAAGACTTCATCTCAATTCGGGCTTGCTCTGAGTCAGTACGACGGATCCTGTTCCTAGAAACGCGAATTTGATGAAAAGCAATCAGAAAGAAATGAATAGTATTAAACAGTATCGGTATCTTATGAGGTTGTTCTTATAGAGACACGATTTATAGAAATTCTAACGGCCCCAGAAAACCCTGCCGCTTTTTTGGGATAACGCTGATGGTCCACGGATTCACAATGCTTGTGGATTCGCACTGGAGCCCTACCATCAATCAATTATCCCGCGCAAACTCGACAGCCTTCACTTACTTATCAACGTCTAAGCTCTGCAAGTACTCCATTATGTTCTAAGTGTTTATCAAGCAGAAGTCATCCTGAACAGGAATGGCAGAGCTGAATTACATCCATGCGAGCAAGTAGGGTTCTGTCGATCACGATCGATTATGTCCACGAGGCTCATCAAAGTATGCGAGAGTACAAGATGCCTCATGTCCCACATTAATCGAGAAGAAAGCCTTCGACTCGCTGGGACAGAAGCTTTTATCAAAGCCCTGGGAACCTGGGGTTTTCCTGCTCAATACCTCAGGGATTCTTAGTAAGCTCACCATCATCATCAGGATTACGGTCTCACCATTCCACAACGAGATGATCATGATGTGAAGATTGGGGTTCGACAGGGCAACATGACCAAACTCTTCAGCGCCTTCTTCGAGAACGTGATGCGTCAAGCGGGATGGGAAAACACGTGAATGAAATTGACGACCGGTAACTGGACCATCTTCGCTTTGCTGACATCACTCCGACAACACCAAACATTGAGCAAGCGATGCGAATGCTGGCTGTGGTTCTACTGCGCATGTGGTTGGCCAGTGACGAAGACGATCTCAATGAAGAACGGTCTGTTTCCTGACGCACCAATCCCGTTCAACGAAACGAACATTTTTGAATGCTCTGCTTACCTGGGTCGGAAAATCGACGTTCTACAATCGCTGTAGCATTGTACAATTTCCAACTTTTCACTTTTAATCTACGATAAAACACCCATTGGTCCCATTCTCTTGAAAGAGCCCACGCTAAACATTGTTACATATTCCTTCGCTCCTTTCGATACTACTGAGAGTCCCATCTGTTCTCCCTCCACAACAAGGTTCAGAGCCATGCAAAATAAAATATAGTTTGAGAAGTTGCTTGAACCTTCTGTCCCATTGACTTCGTCTTTTGTACTTTTTAGTATAGGTGGACAAATCCAACCACTTTATTGCTATTCGCAAAAATATTGCTATGCACGGAATAAAAATCGTTCTTAGTTCTGTCAGTAAACTCTATACGGAATGAAAAACACTTCCAATTAAAGAAAGTAAAAAGTGTAGTTGTAACTTTTGTGAAAATACTAACAATAAGTTTGGTGGCCCACCTGTATGCGGGGCGGAATTCCAGCAGCAACCATGTGGCACCGACCAATAAAGCTGCTAAGACACAGAGAATGCTGGAAACAGTTTGCTACAGAACGCTTTAAAATAACTCAAACAGCCCACAGGAGCCTGTAAAATGATGGAAGCCTAGAGTTGGATTTCACATCTCGAATGATGATAGGGCATGATTGCATAATTCATTGGAACATGGCGTAGGATACTTTTTTTCATGGGATACTTCTTTTGGGGTATTTGCCACCCTGCCTTGTAGTACTGAAACGAAATACGAGACAAGGTCCAGCTCCTTTCCGTGGTGTCGAATGTAATTATCTCTAACAAAGGAAAATCGTGCACAGCTAAATAAACTGTTTGAGGCCACTGCGACAGCTCAGGAACACGAACAGGTACAGTTGACGAAGAACAGTGTTGGGAGGGGAGGCGAAATGAGCTTCGCGCAGCGTTTTTGTGATTGGTTGTCTTCTATCTGTGTCGGCTGCTATTGGTAGAAAACACAGCTGCGATAAGGTTCATTCCATGAGTCTTTACACCCCTCCGCCGGTATCAGCTACACATGGAGATTGCCCACCAAACACCAGATGAGACATGACACTATATCTTGGATGGAATTTCTTAGAATCCGTTTAAAGTTATTAGTTTTCAGCATATTCGTAATTGTAAGATCACACGTCATCATTTAAAAGGTAGATACATCTCTTTCTGAGAATATTCACCTGAACAGTAAAATGTAGAGCCGAAACCGATATGATTCACAGCAAGTGATCTCAGTACATTCTGACAGATACCATGCGCCACATACTCCCATACTGAAAGGGACGTAATTTGTGAATATATCAAAGACGCAAGAGGCATTAAAAAATACGTATGACAGCGAACATGGAAAGAACAAGAGTAAATTCAGCGCATCACAAATCATGGAGCTTTGGATGCATGGTTTTTGAGCAAGTTCAAGAACGAATCGAGGCAAAGTGAGAGATGTGTGGTGGGTGGTTAAGTAAGGCTGAGAAGTCACTTTACTGCGGGAGAAAACGATCTGCTGCGGCTGTCTGCGTCTGAAAGACCGCATGCATGTACAGTCGTTGTCACCGGATTCAGTCGAGGTGTGTCAGTGGGGCACTTTTCTTTTCCTCACCCCTTCCCACCGATCGTTGCTGCTTCGTTCGTTCAATGAGTGGTAGAAAGGGTTGGCACCATGGCAAAACCCAGGCGAGATTGTCCGACTGACTTCAGTGATAAATACTGCAGATATTATACATTTCCGCGCACATGGATCACGCCACGGTTCCCCTACACTTCACATTAGCTCTCAAGTGGTTGTGAGAGCTGTGGACCAAGGAGCTTACTGCGGTCTAAGGGTCCCATTTTTTTTATTCGAGCAGAAGGATGACTGCTTTAAAAAAATTACAAAGTGGGGTTTTTGTGAGATGGTATACTGGACGATTAGTTATTGGTGGCTCGCACTGATATTGTCAGCTGCGCCCCAATTTCTACTCTGAAGGGACCCTGCAATGAGTTGCATCATCTTCACAATTTTTGTAATCTTCTGTGCCGAAGACTATCTGGGCAAGCGTCTTATCGACATTTCTAACTTCCTTGCACATCTGGAGGAAACGAAGGACAGTAAGAGAGACTTCTCTACAGAAAGCTCAACAGATTTGTCGCATGAAAGAGGGCTTAAAAACTGAAAAAAAAGAAACAGGCTGCTAGATAGAAGTAGGGGAACAGGCTGGCTAGTTGACGAAAAATAAGAAAATAAAATGTGACAAGCAGAAAAAAGCGATCAAGGAAGCAATAAAAAAATGAAGAAACAATTTACAAGTGATGAGAGAAAAAGCATGTGGGATAAAATAAACGCTACACAGCGTAATGAAACCTTTGTCTACCTCCAAAGCACTGGAACGTAGAGTTGAGTGAATTAAAGTTATATAGACTTAAAAGCTTCACATGTCGCGCTGGATCTGAATTCAGTTCACTCAGAATAGCCATGCCTCTTGCCCCTCATGCTTTTTTACCATTTAAATGTTTAGTTAGAAAAAAGTTATTGAAGTTTGATTTGTAAGATCAACTCTCGTATGTATTCATTGTATTTATGTATTCGCATTATTTCTCACGCTTGCCTTATGCAACGTATGAACAATAAACAATAAAAGTTGAGGGATTGTTCAGTTGTTTTCATAATAGAGTCGAAACGCTGCGATTCCGCTTTCTTGATTGTTTTCCAATAATCACGCAACAGAAGTACAGATGACTAGTAACAATTGAGATCAAGGCACATTATACGTTGGAAAACACGAGATCTGAATCGACTTTGAGGGCTTGGGTGACGATCGCATTTGTCTCCAAAAAATTTTTTGGTTTGTTAATTTTCCACGTCTTTCAAGCGCTATACTTTCGTTACCCTCTCGACGGGTAATTTTATGGAAATTTGCGTTACCTTTGTTAAGATGGTTAGGTAAATTGT